ATCTGCGAATATGCCGCCGATATGAATTTTTTTTTTACAGAACATATAATGCAGATTAAATGCTTCTGAATGGTGTAATTACTTAGTTTGTCCAGCAGAGCGCACTCCATTGTTTGCTACTGGCGACCCAGGTCAGTGTAGTGTAGAGATGCGTGGATGAGCTCAAACATCACCCGAGTCCGATGCTTCAAATTATCCACCCGCCACCCACCTGCACCTATATTTGATCGTCACATTACAATGATTCTAATTCTTAGTTTTGCATGATGATATGATGAATGGATGGCTCATTTTTAACAGCAGATTCAGTGACGTTAGAGACTAGGGCTGATCTGCGCATCACGGCACGCGTATGCGGTGCATTAAAGCCTGTGTTACGGCCACCGGAGCTGATCGCGGCCACTCAGTCAATGCTGGTGTTTATACCGGCTGCGCTGCGGCCCAGAACTCATGCTTATCACATCTGAACAAATGAACAAATTTTAAAACAACAGGCATCATACACTTGCCAACTTAAACGGTTACAGAGAAGAAACTGGGTATCATACACTAAACAACTGAGTATCACAAACTAAGTCGTTCAACAACAAACTCACTCAGAAACACGTGACAAATGAAAACAACGTGTTCTAAAATCAAACATGTTTGATCTCCTCTGACTGGAGTCTGTGACCATCATACACTACGTAATTTTCTATGAAATCTGCCAACTCAAATCTGCAGACTGGCTCTGACTTTTGGCAGCAAGCATAAACAGGTCCAGATTGTAAATCTGGGCAAAAGTTGTATAGTGTATTTTAGCCTTTAGTGTGGTGTAATGGTACCTCCGGATGACGTGTTTTAGGGATTCTTATACAGGTGCTTCTAGCCTCTAGATCAACCACGAGCCCCGGCACCGTCGGCAGTGTGTAACGGTAAAAACGGAAATCCTTTGAGAGTCGAAACAGAATGGAAATCAATTAAAAGACATCAAATGAACTAAACAGGAAGCAGTAACAAGAAAGAGTTGGTAAAATAGGTCACAAATCTCACCACTAAGAGTCTCATAATACTGTTGTTGACGGGTCCGAAGAGAGGCTCTCTGAAGCGCACACTGAACAAGGGACAGGGATAGACTACAGGATAGCAGAAAACACGAAAAACTCAACTGCTGGGCTTACTGGGACCATAAAATAATGCATACAGAGATTATGAATGATATTAGAGCTTTTCTCAATTTGGTTTGATTAATTTTGTAGGAACAACAGTTAACAAATAACAAAAAGACAAAAAAATAAGAGCCGTTAAGATCATAGAAATCATAATGCTACATCTCAACCTGCATAATATCCTCCCTAAATAGTATGCCAAATAAGTAGTTGTCCCAAACCATAGTACACTACCATTTTAAAAGCCTGGGATCGGTAAGATTTATTTAGAATATTATTACGTTAAAAATAACTCTCTTTTAATATATTTTAAATTAAATTTATTCCTGTGTTGCAAAGCTCATTACTCCAGTCTTCAGTGTCACATTATCCTTCAGAAATCATTCTAATATGCTGATTTGCTGCTCAAGAAACATTTTCTATGATCAATATTAAAAACCGTTGTGCTGCTTAATATTTGTACATTTTTAGATTTTTTTGATGAATAGAAAGTTAATAGAAAAAACCTATATTTGCAGTAGAAAACTTCTGTAACATTATAAATGCTTTTACTGACGCTTTTGATCAATTGAATGTGTTCTTTCTTTGAAAAAACAAACAAACTTTTGAACATGACTGGAGTAATGGCTGCTGAAAATTCAGCTTTACATCACAGGAATAAATTACAATTTCAAATAACTGTTTTTATATATTTTAAAATGTAATCATATTCCACAATAGTACTGTTTTTTCTGTATTTCTGATCAAATAAATGCAGCCTTGGTGAGACTTCTTTAAAATCTTATAGTCCCCAAATTTTGAATGGTATATTAATCTTAATTGTATTTAGTTTTCTTACATCTGTACTCCGCTCCTAAACGCAGCATGAGTCTCAGGGGAAAGGCTTTGGCCCATGGAGCCTCTGCACGGAGCATGAGGAGCCCGAACAGGAAGGGTGG